ACCTCTTTTTCCCTCTCTCTCTCTCTACCTCTTTTTCCCTCTCTCTCTCTCTCTACCTCTTTCTCCCTCTCTCTCTCTCTCTACCTCTTTTTCCCTCTCTCTCTCTCTACCTCTTTCCCCCCTCTCTCTCTCCACCTCTCTCTATGGGCATGGGGACAAATTAGACAATTAGAAAATAGGACAATTTGGGAAGAGGCACAGGTGGACGGAGTGGGACAGGTTGACGGAATCTAACATCATCCAAAACATTTTGTTTTGCAGGTACCGGTTCCAGCACCTCGCGCTGTGCAGCACTTCAGCAACGCCCCATTCACAACCTTCAACCCAGAGGAACAAGTAGAACACGCTTATCAGTGAGTCATTTCATAAAATCGTGCGCTGACAAGTAAAACACGGTAAAACAAGATTATTTTTTGAGTACTCTGAGTACTTTGAGCACAAATATAATATAAATTATGAACAAGCTGAATTATTTATCATGCTTTTAACAAAATTAAAATATTAAGTTAAGTATTTACTGAATACTTTATGGTTTTAAATTTCAAAACCTGTAATAATTTGTTATTAAAATCGTTGAATTCAAAGCTGCGGTATTAGGATATTATATTTTTCATCCTATGATACAGATGTAAACCGATAGAATTTAACTAAAAACGCTGGATTTCGATTTACAAATTAAACATTCGCTTATATACAAACATACTGTCCAGGACTAAAGTCATTTTCTTTCTCTTCTTACGTACCTAGTTTCCGCCTTCTCCAGGCGCATGTAAGCGATGCGTGCCCTATTCTTTTGTTTCGGTGTTTCTTTTGTTGTGCACTGTATTTGCGCGAAATGTCACAGCGGGCCACGATCACTCAGTTGGCATCTGGAGAGAGACCTTACTTCAACAGTGTGTTTGGTTGCGCCGGTCACACCCCAATACGTGGCAGTCGCCATGGTACCGCTTGTCGCGGAGTAAGAAAGATATGAGCTGTCACACGCCTCTGGAGAACAGCCGAAGACCTTTTCCATACCTAGCACTGAGCTAAAATACAACAAGAATCAGGATTCCCATTCGTAACTGAAAGGCTAAGAACAGAACGCGGGATTACTTTATCGATACATTTTAGACGTTTCTACAATTTATTTCTTGTGTTTCTAGTTTTTTTTCTCTAGGACTTTTTTGGGGGAGGGCAAGGCCCTCTTCAATTTTCCACTACTATTACATCACTCATATATCCAACAGCTTGAGTTACACATCTGAATGTTTTGATATTAAGAAAAATGACATAATTTTTCTTTACTTTAGGGCATTTTAAAAAATTTTCGGGAGTATTTTAATGATCGTTTTTGGCGATGTTTTAGGTTTAGTTCGTTGCGCCATCACCCTTAATTTTTTTTAAATCGCAAAAAAGCCATCGTGACATTGCATTTTTTTTCAGACTCAGACTTGACACATGGTTTTCGGTTTTTTGACGCCCTGAATCCGAATCTGGAGCCAGAATTGCGGCATCACCCTCGATACCCTCCAGTTTCTTTTAAATCGCAAAAACCAAATCTCATTACTCATCAATTAGACATTTTCAAAGCATCCCCGTAGAAAGGACAATGAAGAAACTGTCTACATTGTTTGGGGTATGTTGCACTAGGGACCACGCGAAATGGGAGAGCTGATACCGCACATCAACAAATGGTTAGTGAACATTCCCCACGAGATCACCCGTACCAAGCTCATTTCGGTCAGCATCAACCGCACGTGTTGTAAGAGTTAGATAGGGAAGAAGTAGCCCAGGGAGAAGAGGATGGGACATTTGAAGACGTAAGAAATACATTAATACGAGCTGGAGAAGAAAGAAGACAAAAGGCAAAGAAGAAACGCATCAGTTCTCGGCAGGTCAACAGGTGTTGTTGCGAGCCCCAAGGGCGTCAAAACTTAGACTGAAAGTGTGTTCAAAATTCTTTCACTTGTATGAGGGACGAAGTGTCTAAGAGCGTCAGTGTCGGCTGAATTGCAAGACAGGGGCGGCCTTCCTACATAACGCCGGGGTGAGTTGGGGAGGTGAGCCGACTTGACCCGTGGACGAGGTACTCAACCTCCTGAATTCTGGAGCGGTCAAGAACGAATGTGTGAGAAGCTGGAGAGTAGGTATACCGCGTACGTGTAGGTGAAACTAGCGAGTTGTTCGAAAAGTGTTCCTTATACAATTACTTGAAGTGGTTTCGAAATCATTAAATAAGCAAGCTGCAAAAGGCATATTATGCTATTGAGAGGAACTTCAATTTACATTGTGAGGTGAATGTAATAGACGTTTTTGGTCTCTTGAAGTGACGATTGACATAATTAAAACAGTGTTACGTGGCAGTTTAATAGAGCTTCGCAGATTTGTTTAGCGGTGTTCATTTATGTATTTGCCCGAGAAAAACAAGAATGGCCACTTCAGTGAACGGACTATTCTATTACGTAAAGCGCTCGAACTGTGACCAATAAACAAATCACGAACGCCCAATTCGTGGAGTAAAGCGCATCGAAAGCGTGTAAATTTAAAGATCTGGTGGACCAAGGAAGAGCGGCAGAAGAAAGAAGACCCGTATCAGCGTGTGGAGAGGGCGGCACAAGAGGACCTTTGGGGGCCTGGGACGGCCACCGACCTGCAGCCAGCCCGGGAGGCGCGACGGCGCCGCCCTGAGGAATTCGACATTCGACCTTCACTTGTAGGAGAGGGGCGACAGCAGAAAACAGCGGGACGTTATATATTTATAAATTTGTTTCTGTGCGTCGAATGCGAACTCCAGTGGGATATCAGTTTCAGAAGTTTACGTAAAAACATTGGAACAAAGTTGTGATCTGAACGTTTTTATTGTAGCTGAATAGACCTTCATTTTCGATCGCCAGATTGGCGAACCAAAAGAAAATCAGTAGGCAAATTCTGAGAACCGCATATTTTTCAAGAAACAACACTTTTATAGGAACTAGAATAATCCATTTTGGAGGGGAATTTATGTACATTTTGGGTAATTGAAAGGGGTGTATTTGTGAATACTACGTTGAAGATTTAACATTTAATTTGTTAGCTCGTAAAATCAATAAAGAGCATTTTTCAAATGGGATTTCAACATTTAATGACAAGTAGTGCATACAAAGTAAAAAAGCAGAAGTGTTAAATATTTGGTGGTGTGGTTAATGGTAGAGCTACATGAAAGAAGACAGGATAAAACGATACCACAGAGAGGGCGTTCAGTCACTGTTTGTAACGCGTGTTCGTGCGTCGGATGAAGAAATATCCCGGGATCAGTCCACGGGAGCTATCTGCGGAACTTCGCCTGCGCGCCCCCTCCCTATTCTTAAACTGCATCTGAACTGCTAAGAAATGTAGGGATACAGTGGGCGCGTTGCTAGGGGAAAACCTTTTTATCAGCGAGACAGAAAGAGGTTGCGTCTTCAAGCCGTATATACAGGTGATTCAGCCCTTGTTGCTCATATCGGGCCCGGTGATTGAGTACACCAAGTTATTCACGAGTGCCCAAGGAAATGGTGTAATCCCTATTCAAAATGTGGAAGAAAAAGAAAGGTTGTAATGCCTGGACCTCGCGCGCTATTTGCCTAGTGGTCGCATCCGAGGTTTCTCGGACAGTAATTGCAATTGAATTTTCCAGAGAAGTGGCGAGCCGAAACTGAGGCGAAGCCGCTCCGTCACTAGCCCATGCTACACGAGCACAAGCGCATAGTCCGAAGTTAAATTTTGTACAAAATATTTACAAAATAAAAGACGAAGAGTACCCAATTTTGGCAAATTCAGCATGTACATTACACATGGAATAAGGTACCGACGTATTAGCAACAAGGACTGAATCACCGTGGAGACAATTGGGAAGAATGGTGGGGATGGGTCGTATTGAGGAATAGAGTAAATTGAAAGTGTTCGGGTCAGGTGATAGGCAAATTCTGAGAAGAAAGCGAAATGAGTCGATAAATAATAACTCTCATTCCAACAGTAAAACACGGAGGTGGGTACGTCAATATTTGGGGCTGCATAACCGCAATTGGAATGGGAGAAATTGCTTTTATTGAAAGTAGCATGGACAAAATGCAGTATCCAAATATTCTCAAGGACAACTGGCACCGAAACCCATAGAAACTGGGCATTTGAAATAGTTTTAAATTTTATCAAGACATCGCCCCTAAACATAAGGCCCACTTTGTGAGGGAACGGCTTTTCTACAACTTTCGAAGGTGCACGATAGCACCACCCCAATCTCCAGACTTAAGCCCTACTACGAATGAGCCATTCCCACAAACCCGCACTCAAGGTGATTCGCGTGCCCGTAAGACTGGCGGCCTTGGTCTCGGCTGTGTATGTAAACATTTTCATCAATCGCCCAACTTCAAAGATAAGTGGGGAAACTATTTTTTAAATTTATTTTATTTTATTTTTTGTGCAGAAGTGAAGCAGCCGCCGAGGAGACAGACGAGCGGTTGGAAGCGGACGTGAAAGGGGAAGAAGATGAAAAGTGTCCAGCGCCGCCGCAAGCAGTGAACAACTCGGAGGCGACAGCCTCTCTTCCTTTGCCACCCTCTCTTCCTAGGAACGGGTCGGTCGATTCCAACAACAACGCGGCGCAAGATTCTGCCAGGGTGCAGGGCGCAGCATCGCTGAGGCTCCCCACTCATGGTTCCACACCGCGGTCATCACGCCCCGGCTCCAGCATCAAAGAGGTAGGCGCTCCACGAGCTTGCACGCAGACACAGAATTATAGGCGCTTGTCACGCGAAAAAAAAATTGACTCGACTTGGGTCTGTCCTGAGCTGTTGGAAAGAACGTGTTTATATGCGGCGTGGGTTGTAAGCTGCAATTCTTCTACAAGGCTTAAACAGTGGCGTTCTTTGTACGTTCTTAATTATTACTTACGTTCTTAATTATTACTTACGTGATATAGAATAAGTATTATTATATTAATGCAGCGACCATTTGACCATTTTTTACGGACACTCTCGTGTTGATCGCCCTTAATACCGAAAAACTGGATACTTCTTGCTTCTATACTAGTAACCCGAGTTACCTCCTTCAAGATGATGTGTCCTCCAAAAACCCTTTCCTTCCACCTTCCTTAATGTGTCCACTCTCCACCTGTACTTCGAAACCTCTCATTCCGAGTCCCTATTCCTTTCCACATGATGCCCCAATATCGTCATCACTGTAACTATTGGGACATGTTACCACATTCGACAACTCTAAAATCCCGACGACGATAAAAGAGAAAACATATTGCAATTAAAGTCGGTTGCAGCGGAAAAACATTCCTGTAGGTATTTGCTTAAGATTCACATCCTGAACCGTAACGTTCAATCGCTTTCTAATAAATCTGAGTTTGCTGTACAGAGCGATTATAATCATATTGATATTTTTCTTTACAGAACATTGGTTATCTCGTAATGAACTTGGTATTCTCCAAATTACCGACTTAAAACTCTTAGACTATTATTGTAGAGAACGGGAATCGAATAAGGGTCCTGCTCAATGGCATAGTTAAGATAAAGAGGGCGGTCCGCCCCTGGGTGACGCCAATTAGGAAATTTTGGTATTATATAAGTTTAATGATTTCTTTAAAAGTTTTATATGTATATACTAATTTAATAGTTATATCTTTAAATCATAAATACTTAGAAAGCAAAGAAAATAAATATGTAAACAAAAACGTGAAACGATAAGCGATATTCTCATATTTTTCAAGGGCTAAGGGACTTTCATACGGAGGGTCAGGGATCTAAGTTAAAAACGATAAAGATTATACCTCCTTGACGGAATTAAATGTGTACTCAATTGAAAATGTTTTTGAAATATCTATCATGCAGCTTCCGACGATCAAAACTATCTTACTCTGCATCAATATGGTATCACTCTGCACGTCCCCAACAATGCAAGTTTCAGACTACAACACGTTCCAAGAGATTATCGAGATAACTCTAAGGTTATTCAGAAGACTGGAAAGTGCGAGACATCTAATTGTAGGGAACTGCACGTATTTTGCGACAATTTTGTGTGTGTAGTGTGCGCGTGTAGAGTGGGTGCGGTGTGCGCGTGTAGAGTGGGTGCGGTGTGCGCGTGTAGAGTGGG